CAGCCCAGAAGACCCACACCAGCCATAGTAGGCTTTACATTTTTAAATGTGTTCTGATCTTGTTTTAAAACAAAGTGGAATGAACAAGGATTGTTTTGTATTGAGCCAGGAAATCAAGTGTGGAGCAGTTTTATGAATACTTTGAAGGATAATCTGCATGTTAAATGTTGTCAACAAATTTTTCTCAAGAATAATTAACACAGATCATTTACTGCAATCCTTTGCATGACTTCAGAAATACATTTTCTGGCTCTAATCATATGAAACCCTATTGGTGGTATAATCTAACCATCATAGCCATCTGATACAAAACTTGAGGATGAAAAAATTACCAAACAAGCACTGGCCTTTTCTACCTATGTCCTGACATCAGTCATGGGATGAAAGCCAGTTTGGTATAGTGGTTAAGGTGCTGGCCTAGAAACCAGGAGAATGTGAGTTATCCTTAAGCTTCCCTTAGGCATGAAAGCCGGCTGGGTGTCATTTTCTTTCTCTCATTCAGTCATTCTCTTTCAGTCCAGCCCACCTCACAAAGTAGTTGTTGTGGGGAAAATAGGAGGTAGGAGTATTAGGTATATTGACTTGACCTATATATATATCTATATATTTACTGTATATCTATATCTATATTTAGATATATATGTATGTAAAAAAAAAGGCGGGATAAAAATATAATAATGTTACCCTGCAAATGCCTGTGCTAAGCAATTTTCAAGACACACATAACATGTTGTGCAATAAACTAACCAAAGAATCTGAGTGTGCGGAACAACTAAAATGTGGTTGGCTATGTCCATGCAACTAAGCCTAAAACTGCACTCTTAAGAAAGATAAAACAGATAAAGATTTTATCTATTTTATCCACTATTTTCCCAGTGCACACTTTCCTATCTCTGTGTGAAAAGCCGGGCAATCATACCAGGTGAATGCTCTAGTGTTATTTCAAATGTTCAAATGTCCATATTAAGCAAAGGAAAATACTGATTCAGTGGGAGCCATATCAAGGTATATACTATATACACAAGCACACACACAGATCCAGCCTTATTCCCGAAATTCGTGTACACGGCTCTACAGCCATATAATGTAAGAGGAGAGTTTACTTCCAGGTTAAAGGCTCTCTGTCTTCTGTAGATGAACCGCCTGTGTCCTTTCACCACTCCGAAAGTTTATTTAAGTAACTACAAGTCCCCCCCCCCATCTTCAAAATCATATTCTTCGACCCCCATTTTAAGTATAGTCTTCCCTCCCCGTCTTGCAAAACCCCCAACCCCTTCAGACGTACGAGGACAAGAGCGCCCATTGAGCAATTCTGCAAGTTCTCCCCTCAACCCACTGCGAACCACCCACCCCCCCTTTTCCCGCGCGTCCCCTCGCCCGTTCCCTTTAACTCAGCGGCGGAAGCGGCGCGGCGCGCGGGTCCGCCGCCCAATGAGTTTGTGCAGCGCGTCCTCCGGCTTGGCCGGGCTGGGTCCGTCACTTCCTGCCCCTGGAGCCGGCACGGCTGAAGCCGAGATTCTGGGCAAGAGGGGGCGGGGAGGTTGCGCTGCGTCCGCCACCAACATGCCCTTTGATTTCAGGAGGTGAGTGTGGCGACCCCAGGAAAGGGGTGTGTGAGAGCGTGGCCCAAATGAATGAATGGCTCCCTGACGCCCGGGCAGTGTCCGCGGAGTCTCCGGCGCTGGGGGCCCCTCCCATCACGCCCCTCCACAGCTCTTTGAAGCTGTGACCTTTCCCAGAGGTGGGTAGCCCCGGTGCCCGGACTGAAGCATGCTCCTCAGCAGAGAGAGGATGTGGGAAGAAAGGGGTGTGAGCGAGCCTAGTAACTGATGGGTAGGGTTGAGCAGTGCCTCGGGGAAGAAAAGAGGCAGGTCGCGTAGCTGACCTTTCGCATCCCTGTCCCCGGGCTGCCCCCCGGTTTACCTTCCACCTGCACGTATTGTGATGAAGTGGGAGTCAGCAACACGTGGATTCAGATGTGCATCTGGATTGAAGAAAGGTGTGATTTCGAGCGCGTTTGCCAACCTGAAGAAATGATGGAGGAAGACAGTACCTACGGGGAAACCGTGGGCATGACTAGAAGTGGCCCGTTTGTTTCTGAGTCCCTTCTCGGAGTTTTACTAAAACTTTTGGCTGTTTAGGGTCTTGAAGGATGTCAGGAGTATTTTTAGTTGGTTAAACCTGTATAAGCTTGCATCTAGAACAATAGGGGATGAAAAGGAAAGCTAGGTGAGCAAAAAAACTCATAAACCCAAGACATAATGGGGTGCATTTGCATGCCATGCTAAGTAAGCCCTAATAAATAAATTGGAGAACCAGTATGGTGTAGTGGTTAAGTGTTGGACTAGCACTGGGTTCTATGTCCTTCATTCCTGCCTTCTCTCATTCTGTTTGTCTTATTGTTGTTATTATTAGATTTTTATCCCACTTTTTTTATTATCCGGTGATATTCTTAGCCTTTTTTTTTTTAAGTCCTATTATGGCCAGTTTATTTTATTGTTACATTTTGATCAATGATGCAGCCTTAAAAGATCCTCAGAGAGATAAGTTAAACATATTATTGCAAATGCACAGGGTGCAGCTTAGTAGAATAAATAACTAACAATTTCTTTTCTGGTAGGTAGTAGAAACCTGAAATATTCTGTTTATTGTAAGAAAGTGAGCTGAATCACTGAGGTTCCCAGATATTCTGGTAGAAGCCTCTTTTTGGAGAGCAGCTTCTGGTTGCTTTTCTCATTGTGAGTCAAAATGTTCCACAACCAAACCTGAAGCCTCTGTTGTCCTTCTATTGTGATAGTGCAGGTCCCAGAGTATATCCTTCCGTCTATGCCTCTGCATCTCATTCTGAAAGGGGAAAACTTCTGAAATTGCCCTTCTGAAAGAAAACCTGTTTTTATTATGTAATAACGGGTGCATCTGCTGTATTGTGAGGTATGACATAACTAAACTCAAAAACAGCAAGTTTGGAAGAAGGGAGGGTGTGGTGGACATAGGATGGTGGCATAAAAGGTGTGTAGAATTTAGACATAGT